CAACTTACAGAGAATACGGCTGTAATGATTACACAGGGCAGGTTCTATTGACTAGCGATGTTTACATAGGTATGTTATAGCTTGTTTGATAACGTTTTTTTCATTCATCTACAAAGTGATTTGAGGATGTGTAAACATAATTAAACGATTAATATGTGGGATAATAAAGCACGTAAAATAGTCTTAAATGTCTCGAGTGCAAGTCCCATTTCATATTGAATTTTTTTTTTGCCAGCTGAGTAATTTTGACACATTATGAATGCTTAATGAGTTTCAGTCTTAGCTTTATACCAGCTGTCATGTTGTTGCCGCCGTCTAAAAGCCATGGTATCCATGTTAAGAACGTGTTGTTTGTATGATGCATGCATATAATATGTCTAAAAGTGGAAATAAATATCATTTTCCTTTAAAATAACAATCCTGGTCTCTTTTATTCGTGGCAGTTTTGTAAAATAAATGTCATAGGCTGCCAACTTTTTGTCAGGCAGCAAGATATTTTAAGAAGTAGTCATGTTTCAGGTGCATGTATCTTCTTTTCAATCTTGTTTAACGGTGGTATGATTCATATAACTATATACCGTGTACATGAGCTGTATGTTATTCAAAACTAGTATTCATATATCCGGGATATTTTGAATTTTTTTTGTCTTTGCTATTAGTTTTGTAATTGGGATTGCAAATCTTTTGAAATGAAATTGAAAATATTTTATTAGTCAATACATGAAATAACAACAAAAGCAATTAATTAGTTGATAGTATTTTCGGTTATTGTGATTTTTTTTACACAATTTAGGCGAAATGACCCATGGCGTGTGACATATTGTAAATTATATTTTTACTTACCTGACCAAACCTCCTCTCCTTGTCGCCTGTCCTCGGTTTACAGTATTTGAACCGTGTATCAAGTCATTATAGTATGTTTTTTTTCTCCTTGTTCTTGTAATTCCGATGTATCGTCATCTTTTCTGAGGAAATGTCTCCCCCAAATCAAATTTCCTCCGGTGATGATAGAAGACATGTCATCCAATTTGGATACATTCATTGTTCTGTTAGGTGGTCGTTCTGGACAGGTTCTCTATATGTAAAATCACACTCAGATACAAAAACTTCTGTAAAGAATCATAGGTCTAATATGTGATGATACAGTTGTTTTCATACATATATCGAGATATACATTGTACCTTGCTCCTGGAGGTTTCGATCGTGTCAAAGTTCTCTCTACATTAAGAAATTAAATACAATATACATGTAGAAGGACCTTTGAATGTTAATGCATGCTTGTGGAGTGATGAGTATTGGCAAATTTCACCTTTGGTCTCTTAACAGTTATATCTAAATGAACCGGTGGCAGTTTCCGGGGTATATAAGGTTTTCACAACTAACATACTAATCATTTGATAAATCTAACATCCGAAATAACACGCTGTCTCCTTATAGTAACTGATTCATATAGTGTTTTATCAATCTATGACTTCAGTAATATCACAGACCAAAAGTATGGAAGGTGAATTAGAATCATATTCTTAGAACATGTTTAAGGTAATAATAATAATGATAAACAGAACACCAATAAAATCCAAATACAAACTGGGAATAGGGGTTGGGCAGACAAAATGTAAAATATGGAGAAATGAAGGGAAATGGTAATAGAACCAGCGTCGAACACTTTAAACGAATAAGGAGGTGGAGTTTTCTCAGTGAAATCATGGCGGTAACTATACATCTTCCACGTATTCTATATCAACCTGTATCTATTGAAACTCTCTTGTAAGTTTTTCTGGACCGCTGTCGAGTTCTAATATAGAACTGCGATTGTTTTTTTTAATTTTTCAATCACCAGCAATATGTGAACAATACAGGTTGCGACAGGGTGGATCGTTTCTGTAATAAAAAAGAAAGAAGAAAAATGATCACATTAAGGGGAAATTTGATCGTTTCACATGTACGGGAATCTGTCCTTGTTGATGGTGGATGTAAGTAAATGTAGGAGTAAGTACATGTAGCTGATGTGTCTCACTTGTCAATGATTTCCCGTCCAATTTTCGAAATAAGGAAAACGCTCGTGAAACTCTTTGAATTCTGTTATTTTACAACGAGTTAGCTCAGATGGAAGCTCCGTCGCAACAGACCAACAAACAGTTCCCATTGGTAACCAGTAGTAGTCTGTTAGAATACCTTGCCACCAAATCAATGAATATGTTTTTTTTTTCAAACAGAAATACAACCGTTCATGAAATATTATCAAGTGTAGCTCAAAGCAAGATGATGTGCACGTATATCTAGTGTAGTTTGGAAAAGTCTCATATCAACACGATGGGTGTGTTCTTGTAGTTTCCAGTTGGGTAGAGTGTGAAATTTTCAAATAGATCGGACTGAACGGATTTCTTATGATTCTGTCAGTTAATTCCGCTTTCGAATTATCATGATAGAATTGATTTAAATGTACATGTACTAAGAATGTCTGCAAGAAAGCGCGTGCTTATGTTTAGTTGATTAACTAGACACGTTAGCAGTATGAATTTAATTGAAACACCACCAAAGATCTCCTGTTTTGCCACGAATGCCCGTTTGACATGTCAAATGAATGTTTTATCATCATTGTTGTAAATTTTACATTGAAGACACCACTGAAGAAATGTCAAAACAGCGTGATGTCTATATTTTATGATTTCGTCTGAAAATATTGATTTAACACAGAAATATGATTTTAATTTGTTATTATTGTTGTTGTTGTTGTTGTTGTTGTTGTTGTTGTTGTTGTTGTTGTTGTTGTTGAAGAACTGTTTATATAATGGCATTAACACGCGACCCTATTGCTGAGTGTTACATTACCATTTCTGATGTTGTTTGTTTCAAAGGGGGTTTAACGTCCTTGCAACAGCCACGATCATATGGGAACGGTTGTCAAGAGAGAAACAGCGAAAGAAAGAACATGTGATGGCAAACGTCTTAACTAATAACAGGTACAAAGATAGACATGAAGTTCCGGAAAGGGAAAATAACATACGATGAAGGGATTAGAGGTGGGAGGTGTTTGGTTGGATTAGTTTATGCTAATTCAGTATATTCAAACGTTTTAGTTAATTTAACGAATGACTGTACAGCCCATATGTTATTGACATTAGTTCAAAATGGAAGTTCTTTATTTCCCCCATAAAAGTGTATCGAAATGAAGCACAGGCGACAAAAGCATTGGATTATACAAATCTGAAAAAAAAAAAGAAAAAAAATTGAGGGCAGACAAAAACTAAAAATACCGACACCTTATTTACTCTCACCTCAATGTCCCGTAGTAGAGGACACGTGAGATTCCCAATTCCTGCAATGGGGAGAGGGAAGTTGTGGAATGAAACTTGGGCCTCCTAGATCCCTCTCTCAAACCACTTTCAATTTTTAAATAGTACGTACTATACATTATTTTTAAGATTTAAAGTGAAATAATGCATAATCATGAATATCGTCTGAATGATGACAAATTTCAACATGCATTTTATTGAAGCTTTATTTGTGTCAAATTAATTGATGCCATGCAATACTCGTGTTAAAAATTCACCGTGCCACCAGCAGCCGCATTCAGAACCATTGTGTAAAGCAGACGCACACCTGTTCACAGGTGAGAATTCAGAATCACAAACACGCCCCCTGTTGGCAGCGACAATTCTGTTTACGACATCAAAATTAAATTTCAAATCGTATGATTAAGTTGCTACGATATCATATGCACAAATGATTAGTTATTTTTGATACTATATGTATTACAATCTTACAAAATGACACTAAATAAAGCTATATTTATCTTTACTCACTGGTTTATGTACTTTTTTACGACAAACGGAAATGCCGTTTTCCGCGCGATTTTCAACTCGCGATACCGGGGATGTGTCAACTATGACTCACCTAGCTAGCGATGTTTGATTAATGCTCCTGGTCTGCAATCAAATAATCAAACAGGGACAAACTGCGCGGGAAACACAACAGCAGGAAGGCTAAGGTAAGACAGACATTCAAATCTAATTCTGAATTAACTGAGTTCTACATGTATATGATGTGTGATATATTGAGCTGTTAGCAGGCCACATGTTTACGTGTTTACATCAACATCAGAACAGCTGAGCATTACCAAGCAAGACTTCACACAAATACTGATATTTTTAACTTAACTAGACATATTATGTATTTAAACCTTTACATATTTTCTACATTAATTAACAATCATTTATGTTTTCTATTATATATTTTGGAATTCTTTTTAATTTGTATGATGGTCGCGCTATGTTACATGTGCTAACGGTTTCATAATGTAACGTACAGTACATGGACAATAGGCCTACAGGTTGTTTCAGTATTATTGTATTGTACACTTTGAAGACTGACACCTCCAGTTATTTACATAGTTCTCTACATCCTGTCAGAGTCAGTCCGTTAGAAATTACCGGTGGCCCATATTTTACCTGGGGCAGTTACCTGTAATTGGTTTCGGGTGACTTTAGGGGTACCTGATTACGTAACTGATATTTTGCGCCTTTTAAGATGCATGATTGATTGTCACAGTTGAGTGACCAGGTGACAAAGGCTTACCTGTTGTTAAGGATAGTTAATACGGATTCAGATTCTAGCTTGAATTGGAGCACATGTACATGTTATAAGCTGGAAAGAATCAACTACCATTAGACATGTTTTGAATCAATGTTAGACTTGATACATAATCAAATATAACATGATTTTCATGCTAAGATACTGTTTATAAATGATCAGAGCAAAGACCAATATTATTTAAAATAGAGAAGATCCAAGATACAATAATGAAAGCCTTCAAAAAGATCATCAGAACAGTTTGAGGTATGCTTATTGTAATGAGAGAAAATGATAAACATTTGTGCTATATCATTCGTTGTATTCAGATTTATATACAGCCATGTTTGAATTTTACATCTCGCAGGTTAAATGATGTTGGAAAATATGACGTCACACTAGTCCTCCTCAGTACTAAGTAATCCAATATGGTACGAAGACGTAGCGACAATGCGGAGCGTTCCATGACAGAGCTGGAAATCCAAATGAAGCGAGGAACTCCGGAGAAATGCATCCTGCTTTCCCACAGTGCCCCGTCAGTGCAGATGTTCTATGCACTGAGGATGAGACTTGAATCATGCAGTGAAGCATGGCTACAAGAGTTTCTAGACCTCGATGGCCTACAAAGTCTATTGACCTCCCTCTGTCAAATGACTGGGCGAGGATTCACAAGTTTCTCAGATGCTATCTTTCAACTGGATTGTATCTCATGTATCCGGAACATACTGAACACTCATGTAGGACTCGATTTCATGATAAAAAATGATGGATATACATCAAAGCTTTCTCAGGGTTTGTACACATCATAAACATAATTTGTATCGGTCAGATAGAGTGGTAGAATGTTGCAGACATCAAATTATTTATACTAGAGCAAGGACATAATTTTCTTACTTGATGCTTGGTCTGTTAATTTCACATCCATGTTAACAAAACGATATTTCTTGCATCAAAGAATTAACACATTTTGATAATAAATTCAACTGCACCATTTATGCATAAGTACAGTTTTCTTCCAGAAAAAAAAGCAAAAAAACATTTCATGTACATTTTACACCAAGTAAACTATGGCTAACATTTTAATAATTTTAGCTGTGTGCTAAGTCAGTCCCAATCTGAAATAGTCGGAAGAATGCCTGTATAATGTATAATTGGTACATAAACTTTTCTGGATTAAAAACCAAACTATTAAATCACACATATTAGATATAGCAATGTTTCTACAAAAATCCTGAAATAATTGATTAACCAAAAAAACAATACAAATTGATATATATGTATTACAGTGCCATTAATTTCTGTTTGACAGCATTGAGCATTAGCAATACATTACCCAAGAAGCAGATCCTAGAAATGATGTCAGCCATCTGTGCCTACAGTAACCTGGGTTATCAGGCAGTCCTCACAGCACTTGGTCACTTCCAGGTAAAACATTTAGTCACTTCCAGGTAAAACATTTAGTCACTTCCTGGAAATCTTGGTTTCTTCCAGGTAAAACATTTAGTCACTTCCTGGTAAATCTTGGTCACTTTCACGTAAATATCAAACACTTGTCACCTCCACATAAGGCACTTGGTCACTTACAGGTGAAAACACTGGATCACCTCTGGGTAAAACACTGGGTCACTTCCAGATAAACACTGTAACCTTTAGGTAAAACACTTGGTCACTTAAAGTTGAAAACACTGTCACTTCAGGTAAAACACAGGTGAAAACACTTGGTCACCTCTAGGTAAAATACTGGGTCACTTACAGATATAAACACCCTGTCACCACTAAGTGGAACACTCGCTCACCTGCAAGTGAAACAATCTGTAATCTTTGGGTGAAACACGTGTTCACTTACAGGTTAAAACACGCGGCCACTTACAAGTGAAACAATCAGCCATCTTAAGTTCAAACACTTGGTCACTTACATGTAAATGATCTTTAGTTAAACACTCGACACTTACAAGTTAAAACTCTCTCTCACCTCCAGGTAAAACACTCAGTCACCTCTAGGTCAAACTCAAACCTCTCATTTTGATTATTCCAGACAGTTGAACCTTTAGTAGTAGTCAATATCTTGCTGACAATATCATGTGTATATTAAAAACACATAGGATAAACATTTGAAATGCTCACAGTATGTAATATGATACCAAGCTGTGTACAACAAATGAGATCACTGACTAAAGAAGCCAGGCTTTAAAAGTGAAAATGAAATTTTACAATTTAACAAATTCATTATACTTCAACAGAAGGAAATGGACCAGACTCATCGATTCAGCATCATCATCAATGAGCTGAAGTCAGCAGAGACTGTATCCTACAAGACAGCCATATTGACCTTTATCAACACTGTCCTCAACTGTACCCTTGACCTGGTGGATCGTAACCGCCTCAGAAATGAGTTTGTTGGTAAGGACCCAACTGGAAAGGACTTTTACAGATACATGTCCTATATATCTTAGATACAGGATAAATTACAGATATGTGAATATCCTGTCATTGGTGATCAAAGATTCACAAAATACAGCTTGTTTTTGTAAAACCACGAAAATTTAACCCCACAAAAGTATGTGATTTCACAGTATATCTAATACATTTTGTCACTTATAATATGGTTCTGATAGTTGATCAGCATTTGGGATCAAAGTGTTCTACTAATACCGACATTTTCTTTAAAAAGGAATCAAATACTCAAACATATATCTGGTGATTGCATATTTATTATAAGATGTGAAACCATTTTGCAATAATTTGATGTCAGTTGTCGTTGGTTTACTTGAACCATCAGCCATGTTTGTTAGGCCTAATATTTCAATATGTTTCTGTTTATGCTACACACTTTTCCATCACCAGTATACTGTACATGGGTTAGACTAACACTAACAGGTTTTTCTATTTAGGACTGAACTTGCTTGATGTGCTAACATTTCTGAGAAAAGAGGAAGCTGACGATGACCTTCACCTTCAACTTCAGGTACTTAACTACACTTATAGTGACATACTCTTGGACTGATACCAGTGTTACTTTGTTGTATTCAATTTCATTATAATATTTTGCATTTGTTACATATACTCATAATTATTATGTAATTGATACGTCACTTAAATCTGGTTCATTTTTACTTAAGAATATTAAATGTGTTTCAAATGAATGTTCATCCCCATCTAAAGCACAGCTCACTATGAAAGGTATAGGTTTAAACAATTGTGATTTTCATAACTTCGTGGGCTGCGATGGTCAAATAAATTAAGCCTCTTTGTCTTTTGTCTTTGTCACCTCTGAGTTGCGGTTTCGAGGCCTACATGGTGCAGTTGCCAGGTACTGGTCAAAGGCTGGTTTGGTGGTTTTTCTCTGGGATCTCTGACTTTCTTCCTCTACCAAAACCTAGCATGTCCTTAAAGGACCCTTGCTGTTCATAGGATGTAAAACAATACACCAATTTTTATCACTTTACTCAATTTTCAGGTAAAACTCATAATAGCTTGTTGATCCCTTAATGTTTTTATATTGTCAGGTATTTCATGAAAAGAAGCATGCTGATGAGGAAGTGCTGTATCAGGATCACTTTGTGGACTTCAACAGTCCTGAGGACCTGGTAGATCTCATACAGAGCAAGGTCAGACAAAACTCTGGGCTAGTACAGATGTTAATGTTAGAAAGTTTCAAACTGTTACAGGAATTTTGTGTCTGTTCTTGATTGATATCATTTCATTCCTATATGTAAAGAGTTTACCTTTTATGACTCCTTAAGAGCTGCTGCAAAATTTACAGTATAAGGTTACAGAAAGCATCCATGTCCATCGATAGGGAAAATATAGTGAAATAACCCTGTTTTATAAGATTCCAATATTATCAATTCTTTGATTAGTGAAAAAGTGTTTGGTAATTATACCTTTTTGTTTTAGATATTTGGAACTCCAAAAATGGTTTCTTTTGTGAACATCCTGCAAGATCTACTGGCTATAGACAGTGTCTATAACAAAAACAGGTGAAATATTTCACATTCATGTTATATAGAAATTCCTTTTCTAGCTCGATGCTTAGACAGTAACACTAAGTATCAGATGTTGATAATATTGTTAAATCCCTCATCAGTAGATATTAATTCTGTCAGTTTGATAGTTCCTTTACTGGTAAACAAGTAAGAACTAATGTTGAGATCAAATAAATTGTGCCATTCTTAGGGAAAAAAGGACAAATCAACTGATGCCATTTTTTTTTAAATTGAAAAATTCATTTTTTGATGGACATATGCATTCTTGTACAAGAAAATATAAAGCAGACAACAATATCTGAATTAAACACCATGTGTCATTCATATTTTAATATTTGTAGAAACTACCAGCGATGGAAAAACTCTCCTGTAATGCTGTCTTTAGATAACATGTGAAATATTAGATCCTTTTTGATGATATGTAACTTTGAAAATAATTTACTTCTCGAAAAAATAAAAGCAAGAATTTAGAATAATTTATCTATCTTCCCTGAAAATAAACATTTACAAAATTTTTAGTGGATTAAAAACCTGTCATGATGTATTCAAATAGAAATGTTTGAGCTTTTTTAATATATGTTTTTCTACAATCCAGCTGAAGTGATAATACTTATAATATGGTAGGTAAACATACAATATATTGTATTGCTATATGTTACCTACCAATATTTACAAGTATGGCAACATCTTATTGATGTGGGTGTGGTCAATGTATATACACACACATAAATATATACATATATAATATCCATGACATAGCAGCTGGCATCAGTATCATAAAACAATCTTATGTCTAAAACTGTGTCGAATTTTGACTTAGCCAATCACAAATAATGTCAAGTAAGGAGAGGTCGTGTGAACGGTTTGGTAAAAACTTAAAGATTGTTTCATGATAACGTATATTCTTATTTATCTGTAATATTGATTGGGAAGTTTATGTCCGTTGCTTATATAACAACATCACAAAATTACAATAAGTCATCCTGATCGGCCTTCACAACAGTTTACATCACTTCCTGTCCATCAGGATAAGATTCATTCATCAAGTTAACGCTCCTTCATTGTGTCTTTGTTATACTGCTTACTAAAGTCAAAATTCATCCATTTGATTAATAATCATTCGTCAGGTATAAACATATACTACATACATATTTACTGTATAGTGTTGGAAGTCTTGTGTAATGATTAACAGGCTTTTTAGATCAATAATTACACGTAGGTGGTAATTTGAAGCTGTTTTTATTATCCTGAAAATCCATTTCTGATTTTTGTGAAAAAACAGATGTAAAAAATGTGCATGATCTTTTGGTAGCACATTTAAGAAAAATAAAAACAACATCCTTGAATTGTGAGAAAGTCTGCTGCAAAGGAACTTAATTATTCTGACCTGTGTTAATATCTCATTTAGTATTAAACAATAATCATCAACCATTTTTAAGTACTGCTACGATGATCAGGTCACTAATTTATCTTAGTTAGTCTGTTAACTAACTTTTTCTGTTATTTAGCACAAAGCTCTGGAAAAACATTGACAACCTGGTCCACCAAGCCATTCACACCTGTGGTTACGATGAAGTTCAGTCTTGCTCCAAGAATGACATTTTGGCCCTTGACCTCTTACCTGATGACTGTGACCTTGGCTTGCAATATATAACCAATTACCAACTGCAGTCAGCTTTTGCACCAAAGGGCATGGCAGGGTCAATGACAAAATCAACTGATATCAAAAGTATGTCACAGCGAAATTCAACCAGCCCTTTGTTGTTGAACAGAGACCACAACAAGTGTGAAAATGATACTGGAGTTGAGTTGACTAACAGTAGTGATGAAAGGTCAAAGGTTGCATACAGGACTAATATGTTGGAGTCACTAGACCGTAGCCATTACGATAATGTATTCCTCAGTGAGAAGGAGATGAGTCTTAGTGCTGATACACCTACTAACAAGTCAGCGCTACAGCGTAGGTACCAGATCAAGAAAATACCAACTCCTCAGCCTCACAAGACATTAAAGCATCTCTCCTGGCTCCGACTCGGGGACAATACTGTTGGTTTGTAAATTTTTATATTTCTCGTATCAGAAATACAAACTCTGGTTGTATAATCCTAATATTAGATAGGGTATTTAAAGTCATTTGTGCTCCATTTAATAATGATGCTGGTTTATCCAGGTTCAGCTTCTTCCATGTTGCTTAAAAACATTCCTGAACTGATAGAATCAGTAGCTACAGTATAAATAGTGATGGGACAACAGTATTTGAGAATATCTACATATTTTTCAATTTGTAATCATACCAATTAAAGAAAAGAAAAGGAATTTTCTGCAAAGAAAATTTGATTGCCAAAATTAACCATTTTCCCATCAAGGTTCTCATTTGACCAAAGATTTAGAGATCTAGAGATTTCAACATGTATACCTAGACATACTTGAAGATGACATTGTATATATATCGCTGCATTTTGTTGTCACCAAGATGTCACACATGAATATTTACTGGATGTGCCGTGTGAACCTGTATTCTTACATGCATGTTTTTACCAGCCCGAAGAAAATGTTCAAAATATATCAAATGACTTCTTATTCTTAAATTTGGTCTAAGCTTAATTCTTTTGAACACATCAGTGTATTTTAAAAAAGAAATGCGGTGAACTAAAGATTAAAGTTCTGTTCCAGTAATTAGATGTAACTTGTGTCAGATCTGATTCTGGAGTGAAATAGGCTCCTGTATCTCCTGTAATCAGGTTGGATAAGGATGTACAATAGCTTGATATGTAATCTTCCTGAATTGAATATCTGTAAATTGTGTGCACATAATTCCCCCCTCCCAACAAAAAATTTAAATACACTCGCTAAATGTGTTTCACTGCTTGATTACAGTCAACTGATTTCCTGGAGTTCCAGAAATCAATACTCCGACATGGAGTAGAAAATTGCTTTCCAACAAGAAATTTAATGACCACATTTTTGTATATGTTATGTTTGTCTTGCCACGAACTAGCTGATAAAAGTTGTTTTCAATTATCATGCCCACTGCTTGGAAGATCGTTTTTACTTTTGAAGTTTCGGATTGTACCATGAATTATTCTACTTATCAGGTTCTATGTCTCCTATTACAAATTGCGGCCTTCTGGAACTGCTACAAAGAATCTTCGTTGATACATATGTATGACGTGTAGAAAAAATGAATGAAAATAGTTGTTGGATTATTGGCTCAATAGTTACTAGTAACCAAGAGCTAATTCTATTCACCTGGTGTCCACGTCAGCATCACATCCGAAAACATTTCATAAGCCCTTATCATACATTCCATATCCCAAAAAGTTGGCATTAACAATAAGTGGTTAAAGATTGATAGTTATTTTTGTTTTGTTTTTTGCACATTTTTTTTCGAGGAGGTGGGAGGGGGAGTTATCATGTTTTAGACTTTGGAAACTATGTAAATGTTTGGATTGCATTTTGCAGTGACTGCTGCCAATGAATTTAGTATAATCATTGCACTTGTTTTACATTGTAGATAATATAGATATTATTTTTTAAATAATACAGTTGTTCATCTTGTTGTTTATGTAATAGTGAGGAAGGAACCTTCATTATTTTCCAGTAAATAATGTCATTACTTGATATAAAAATTCATATAGTGTAACTCTTCATTGTTCTACAGACAGACATAAAGACAGTGTATGGATGGTATCAAGTGGGAATCATCGAATGTCTCCTGACTTTGAGGAGTTGGAACGTCTTTTCCAGGTTCAGGAGCGACATGAGGAAGACATGAATGAGGTAAAATGAGTATTGAGTTAGGGATGAATTAATAGTTAAGTGATAATGAGATTGAGAATATTGAATAGATTGTGAGGTGCAAATACATAAATGTTGTTAGTCTGAAATTTTAATATCAATTTCTATTGCTGAGATGGACTCTGAAAGAACTAGTGTGTGGACAAAGATATTTAGGATTTGTTGTGAATCAGTAATTTTATATTATGATGAAGGAATGATCAACAAAAACCTGATGAAGTCATCTAGACAAAACTTTATGTGATATGATATGGAGAAAAATGTTTTGAAATTTTGTATCTGCTTCTCTCGCCGCAATTCCTCTTATCTACCAAGAAGGAAAACATGTAGAATCTGTTTTTTGTAATAATGACACAGCGAATAAAATATTAACTTAGACGTCAGTATGTCGTAGTGTAAAATTCATACTTCTCGTATTTCTTGTGTCCCTGCCATTTAATGGGAGGTTAAGTGGGGAGGTGACACGGGTGGGCACGGAGTCCTCTATCTCTAGGTCGTGGTTCTAGAGGTTACGTGTTAGGAAGTGGGTGGGGTTTCATCGGGAACTGGATGGAGGTTGGGGATTTGTTTCTGAAAACTCTGGCTTTCCATCACCACCAAAACCTGGCATGCCCTTGAATGACCTTAGCTCTTAACAGAATGTAAACCAACAATTATCCAATCATTGTGTATGTCCTCTCCCATCATGTTCACCCACATTGCATCCTATTATGTCTTGAATCAATGTTATCATGTAAGTGACTTCATTTCTAACAGGATTTGAATTAACTCTATGCAAAAGTTAGTCCTAGCAATATCTGAATGAGTCTCTGTGTTTGTTACATAAATTATTTCCATAGGCAGTAACAGTGTACCAAAACATGAAGGTGATAGCATAAGTGATAGAGAACACCTGTCAATATTTTATCTTCTATAATGACTGTAAATTATTTCATCTTCTGTAAAAGATTTAAATGTTTAATTTGTTTTTATACAGTTTCCAATAAATATCTATCTTCGATATACAAATAAGAACATCACTGTGTTGTCTAGGTGATTCTACTGAACCCACAGACACGTAGAAACCTGAACTTGTTTCTGGGTCGGATGGAGATCAGTGCCGAGGAACTGATACAGAGTTTGGAGACAGGAAACTCTGTGATTGTCAATCTTCCAACCCTACGATACCTCCTCCACGTACTGCCCCAACCCCAGGAGGCAAGTAGATAGATATTTGTGATATGTTCCAATGTTAGTGTTGTGTGTGTGTGTGTTTGTGTGTTGGGGGTGGGGGGGGGGGCGGGGCATGTCTTGTTACCTGTTTTGTGATTACCTTTAAAGAATCTAGTTGTAGCATGTAGTTTAACTTACCCAGATACATATATATGTACTCTTACATTACATTTCGGATAAAATATTCCTCACCTTCAGCAGGGAATCCGAAGGTTATTGTGATATACTCAAACCCCCAAGAGGTATACAGTGCCCTACCACAAGGAGCATGACAATATGTTACATGTAGACAAAACAATACTGCCCTGTATTGGTGATTCCATTTTGTTTGGCTTGTATATATCAGTTTTTATCCTGAGGTTGTATCTCTTTGTTAATTTTGTGAGCTGTCCATTTTTGTCCAATGTTACTCTATATTGTATGAGCTATATTCAACTTACTTCATGGTTCTGGACACTGTTTGAAGTGATTACCTCCTCCACTCTGAGAGTTCTGTGTTTGACAAACCTGGTGTCCCTTTTTGTGTTACTGTTACGTATTTTACTACTGAAATCCTTACATAAAAATCCACCTTCCTTAATGTTTAACAAAAAAGTGTAGATGTTTGTTAAATTTATTAATTTCTGATAAAGCTACCAATTCAAGCTTTAGCAGAGCTGTCTTCAGACAAATACCGGTATACAATGTAATGTAAACAAAATAATTTCCAGATTGCCACACTACAGTGCTTTGATGGTCAGAGGCATGACCTTGGAATGCCAGAACAGTTTGTACTTCTGCTAGCAGACATCCCAGACTATGAAATCCTTATACAGGGACATCTGACCAGAGCAGAGTACACTTCAAGCCTCCAAAAGCTGAAGAGCTCGCTCAATGTGATGATAATGATGTGTAAAAAGATCATGCAGAATTCTGACCTTAAAGAGTTTATGCACTTCGTGCTACACATCGGTAATTTTCTGAATCATGTAAGTATTTCATGTCTTTTGTATCAAACAGTAGACACTGTCTACATTGATTTTATTAAATCTTAATCTACATCTTTTGAAATTGCATTATCAGGACGATACAGATATTATATAAAAATGATCCAGTTGTGGTGTTTATTGTGACTTTAAATAACTGCAGAAATTATAATATTTGAATACCTTTTTAACAAGACAGTTTACATAGTTAAAAAGCTTACATGCAGCCGTAAGGATAAGATATCTTGATGAAATGACAAATCAACAGAAAACAAGTGCAAGTATTTTTGTGTTTTTGTGCAATACTTTCTCACTAAATGTATATGTGATGATAATTTCAGGGATGTCTTCATGGAGATGCGATGGGATTTAAGGTGTCAAGCTTGGAGCGCCTGATGGATGTCAAGTCAACCCTGCCTAATCAGTCGTTACTCCATCACATCGTTAAGATGGCTGAACAGAAGGATAAATCCATGCTACAATTCATTGACGAGCTACTCCCTTTGGAAAAGGCCGTCAGGTACAAGGGGAGACAACTCATCTAAAATTGAGAATAATGCTGTCTTATAACAAATATTCAGAAAGAAGGAAGATTGGGCATTAAAACAAAAATTGTCACAGTATCACTTCTGATAAAAATGTATCTGTCATGTGTATAAGCTTTTCAGTAATGATGAAACGTGAGCTTTCAACCTCAGTAAAAGTTGTCACTTTTACTTAATTTGAAATAAGGAATCTGTAAATATCTGAGGTTTTCTATTCATTGGATGAATATCGGAAAGGTCCATTATCATAACAACATGCTTATACATAAAAACTGTTTCATGTTTACAGAAAGTTATAGGGAGAATTTTATAAGGTGAAGGACATATTCAATGATATCAGATTCTGTTAAGACTTGCAATTTTATGCATGTTTTTTTTAAATATCACAAATGATGTTATTTCCTTCATACTAACTTTTTTATTTAATGTTGGTTCCGTAACAGTTCGTCACTATATGACATGAAAGGGGAGATATCCAAGTTTAATAAACAGCTGTGTTCCTTTGTTCAACTTCTGGCTTCTGGTGACCATCATATGAAGGACAGATTCCATTCTTTTATTGAGGTAACACCAGATAATTGTATTCTTTCATCAGGGCACTGCAAGTGTCCTGCAATATTATATTATCTTGACTGTCTGATTACATATCTCTATAATACTTCATTTTTCTTCACATTGAAATGCTAAGATAGATTTTAATGATTTTTGTTTTTGCAATTACAGTATCCACATTAAAAAAATTGTAACAGCTGATTTTACAAAACATATTTTGAAATTAAACAAGACAGTTTCAGAAAAATAATGCACCAATTTATTCAAAAGAAGATTTATACAATGCACAATTAAATTAATATTAAACTGATCTTAAAAAAATCACTGCAATGCCATTAGCTTTGTAATATAATTGGGTAACAATTGAATCAGTCTTAGATGGAAAACAAGGGTAATTGTAGTCATCTGTAAGATCAAAGGTTAGACAACCATTACTCCAATCAGTAGACAGCCATTTAAAATTCTTTGGCCTGAAATTTAGGATATATGATTGATACTTCACAACCACTGTAAGTTTTGTATCAAATGATATGACTGAATTTTTGCCAGGAGGTGAAGATGGAGTTACGGGACATCCAGACATTGACTAACACACTGCGGGAGTCCACCCAACATCTAGCTCACTATCTGTGTGAGGATCTTGGCCAGTTTGAGCTGGAGAGTACGCTCAAGTGTCTACACACATTCTGTAGACAGGCCAAGAAGTGTCAAAAGGTATTTTTGAATGGTTTTACTTTTCAGTTTAATTTTAGGAAATCAAAATGAAATGAAAGTAATACTGCATTAGAAGCTGGACAGATTTACATTTGAGAATGTGAGCAATAGGCTGTGTTAGCTTATTTACTACAGCGTTAGCGTATGTAATCTCATTTAAAGATCTGATCTGCATGGTTTAACACTCCCAATGCATGGCGGTTTATTATCCTCAGGAAGTTATACTTATCTGTGCTGTCATGCTTGTATCCTTGGGCAGGATACGTTACCTGAATTGCTTTGGTATGTTCAGTGAGGTAGCCATCAGATTTTACAAGATGACCCTTGCTTTTCATGGAGCAACACACCCAGCAAACTAAACAATCAAACAGAATGTTATCACATAATATATGTTCTTCCATATCCATTCGTGACTGCCATATTAGAAAGTTTGGCTCACCATTGTCTTTAAGAAATGATTTCTGTCTTTACAGGAAAATGAAAGTTTTCAAAAACAGACCCAGGTGGCCAGAAAAAGAGTGGACATGAAATGTCTGACCAAGAACAGACTGCTGTCTTTAGAGTTTGGTAAAGATGCAGGTATGTATCCGCAGTGGATTGGGACCCCTAGAATCTGTAATATTCATCTATAATCATTTATAATCAAAAGGCACCAAAATGTGAGAAATTTGTCAACATTTGTTTCTGATTCTGAAATGTTTCATGCATTGTGATTGTGAATAACAATTGAGAAAGTTCTGTTGTATTTTGTGTGTTATGGTTTCTACAGTTCACTATAAGTCGTGACTATCCGTGATATTAGTTCAAAATAAAACACATGAAGATGAAATATCCTTATGGATACCCCGATCACCAATATATCAGTCATGTGGCCTTGCTATTGATATTCTGAAACGTTTCGTAGGGGCAAGCTCTTCTATGATGGAGGACAGAAACAAAATTCTGGAGAAGATTCTGGATGACCTTCACCGTGGAAATTTCCGCCCAACGGTGACTCTGGAGGCTCATACCCCAGACATGGACATGGATCCAATGGAGTTCAGTGACATCAGTTTTGTTGGCAGCCCCTTTCCTATGCGACCTTCATGTGAGGCCATGGAGGAAGACTTTCTTACCCCACCAAGCAAGAATGTTGGTCCTCGCACAAGCTCAGGTACATACCATACTTTATACTAAACTGAATTTATCAAGATAAAGAATAAAATACACTTCATATTATCCTGAATTTATTAGGATATAGACTAAAGATACACTTCATACCATACTGAATTTATCAGGATATAGACTAAAGATACACTTCATACCATACTGAATTTATCAGGATATAGACTAAAGATACACTTCATACTATACTGAATTTATAAAGATATAGACTAAAGATACACTTCATACCATTCTGAATTTATAAAGATATAGACTAAAGATACACTTCATACTTAACTGAGTTTGTTAGGTTATAGAATAAATGAAAAGCATGTCATATCATACAGTATCTGTGAGGATATAGAATAAAAATACACTTCATACCATACTGAATTTATTAGGATATAGACTAAAGATACACTTCATACCATACTGAATTTATTAGGTTATAGAATAAAAAGCATGTCATATCATACTGAATTTATGAGGATATAGAATATAAAATACACTTCATACCATACTGAATTTATTAGGATATAGACTAAAGATACACTTCATACTTAACTGAGTTTGTTAGGTTATAGAATATGAAAAGCATGTCATATCATACAGTATCTGTGAGGATATAGAATATAAAATACACTTCATACTATACTGATTTTATTTGGATATAATAAGAATAAAAATTGTATGCACTATTGTTAAGTAGTGGTTGGGTGTAGGGTTTATAAATAAACAATTTATTATTCATGTAATAAGTGTTTGGAATTAACCTCCTTTCGAGAGAAAGTTCAAATCAAGAAAAAATCATTGCTATACCTCCATGGTACTTGAGGTTTGAAAGGTTGTGTCTTTAAAAACTTGGTTTCTAACTGTTCCATAAAAAGTAATTGTTTATACCTGTATACACTGATAGTCTGGATTTACATATTACAGTCTTCTCTCCCACCGCTGTTTTAATCTATTAACTCATAGTCGGCTTTGATCAATGATCATTGTTTCTTTGATTCTTACCAGTAAGTTATAAATCAGGGTTTTATTTATCAGAACTCTATTGATGAAATGAGAAATTAAGTGTTGTCAAAAAGTGGTTGGCATCACAATGCAAGAAAATTTTATATGAAGAAATTTCTAGGGCCTGTGTAACCTTTGTCAAATTGAAACATATAGGCAAAATGGTTATGTGACAGTGACTTATCCTACATTGCATGGGTAGGCCAGTGGTAGAGGCGTTGGAAGTTGTGTCAAGAGATTTATGAAAACTATTGTGCATGACAAAATGTAATAATATTTTATCTATTTCTTGATGAACTGCTTTCTGTTTGCTTCAGCCTTATCACATATACACAGTGCCAGGGTGCAGCCACAATTTTCAGGGTTTGTCATAATAATACATTTAAAATGCAATTAATTTTTTTCACTTTTCATTTACTAGGTAGGTCACTTGCCCCATGTAGAGTTTACAATTATTTGTTAATTGTGTGGCCTTATGCTTGTTGGTAATTTAAATATACATTTGCTGTTACAGAAGCAGATATACTGGCAGAGGATTCACAACAAGATATCACAGCTGATTTCTCTAAAGACTGCATTGAAAACTATGATGAGGAACCAAAAAATTGGATAGTGCCCAATACTCTAGAAACATTTCCAGACCGTCGTTTGGACATGGTGAAAAAACAAACCAAGCACCAGGGCCACAATCGCAGCCGAAGTGATCTTGCTAATTCTATTATCACTGCAGAGAAGTGGATGAAGTATGAAGAACTACGGCATCAGGAATCATTGCATGAAGATATGGCAGCTCCCTTGGCTGAACCCGAGAGTATGTGTGCAATCTCAACACTTAATCTGGAAAATAACGGAAGATTTGTCGACAGAGATGATGTCAAGTATTTTGAAGAACAGCAGAAGGAGATTAAGCAGGAAAACGTTTGTTCTGTAGAGGAGGGACCAATTGTGAAATTGCCACTTTCAGAACTTTTGCCTGATATGAAAAGCTGCATGGATACTAAAGAGATGGCAAGCAAAAGGCCAGAAAAGAGGTCATCTGTCAGTAACTTTTTCAACAAAATATCTCGAGCAGTGCTTAAACCCAAGAATGTATACAACACTCCAGGATCCAATGTATCGTCTAATACAAAGAGTCAGAAAGACGGCTTCAGAATGTTTGGTCGAAGGAAGACGACCTCGTCACTGACCTCAGAAAACAAAGAGAATATAGCAGTAGTTGAACGTATGTCACAAAGGTTATCATCTGTTGATAAAAAGTTTGCAGTACAAGAACTCAGAAAAATTAAAAACAACAAACTTCGAGCCTCTAAAGGAAAATAACTATCATGATGCTAAATTTTGCCTACTTCACTTTTTTTAATTGAAGGGGGATAACTCCTGCAGGAAACACCTGTTATTAGATAGAGTGAATTGTCACATTTGTGTTCAAAACTGAATTTTTTTCCTGAGTATATAATTTTTGTGCAAATATGTAATTTTCTGGTGTTTGGTTTGCTTGCTTAGTACTGAACACAATTTGATAGAAAGTATTGAAATGTTATTATTTTCTAGAACCGGAAAAAATGAACCATTGCTTGCATACAAAGATATCAGAAAAGTAGATGTGGTTCATATATCTGATAGTCAAACTATCACAACTGTGAACATCTACCGGTAGTGTATGTCTTTTCAAAAGCAGGTTCTGTCCTTTTTTTTTTTTTTTTTTTACATTTGCATGTTGTTAATATCATTTTCTTTTGTAATTTACAAGTGCTCATTTAAAAAATCTGGGTTTGTTTACTGTGGTTTAATAAGGCATTTGCTCACTAAGCTCTATTTGTTAAAATGATTTACATTTTTTTCATATATTTGTTGAAAATGCTTATTTACAGATAATTGTGTAGTGATATTTACAGTGATCAGAGCTTTAAATTGGTCCCTGAAAAATATAATGTTGACACCCCACAAATAGTTTTTGTCTCATCAGAACACATTTCCTGTAGGATATTAGTTGTGAGTCTCAATTTGGAGGAAAAAGTAACAAGACGTTTGGTGCTCAAAGGCTGTATGAAGCCATGGCAGTATGTTTAGTGTAGCAAGGTAGATGTAGTTTATGAATAGGGCTTATGATGCGTGGTATTTTTAACTACCACTAGTGTACATCTAGTCATTTTTGTCACACTCGAGATGAAAATTAGAAAATCCAAAAATAGATAGCTTGTAGAAGTGATGTGATGAGAATAATATAAATCAAAAGAAGATTTCTTGGATCTTGTCTTAATTCTGTAATAATTAAAAAATTTGTTGTGATAAAAGATCTGGATTTCAAGAAGTCCAGTTAATGCTTAAAAGATTTTTCAACGCGGAGAAATAGTAAGATAAAAATGTTATAATTTTTAAATATTTTAAAATTTGTTTGAGGTGAAATTTACAATTTACAATTTTTTTGTTTGCACTGTTGTAATGATCAGTTCAAATATCCACTGACCCCTACAGCAAATAGTAGATATTTGGATGGACAGACATTTGGTGTAGGATATTTGTCCATCAAAATTAAGAAGTCAGGGGAAACTCAAGTTATAAAAAGGTGTTCACAACCATCAAAGTTTTTGTGCAATTTTTGCGTAACATTATTTATCGGTGTAAAATGTAAATAGCCTTATTAATGTTTGTCGGTTTATTAGTGTCAGAATGTTTTGTTTTTACACAGTTGTCTTTCACGCACTAGGTGCTTTCACTTATCTCTGTATTGTAGCGTCAGTACAAAATGTGATAATTCCTCCGCAATATTATTCTGATCACATTCCAATCATTTCAAATTTTTTAATGAACAACAAAATTTTTCTAGACCCCTTACTAAATAAACATTGGTAGATAAAATGTTTATAAACTCTTTTTTGAGTTTTAATATAGTATCAAATTTAATCTATGATGGTAAAGATTATTTTCTTTAAAAAATTGTGATAGTGATATATCAATTTACATTGTTTATGTGTAATGTACAATGTGTAATGATACCATTTTCTTCAGCTCGGATTGGGAAATCTAAACTTGAGATGATAACATGTCGGTCAAAAACATCTTGTTACTGATATTCAAGTGTTTGGGTAAAATATTCCTGTGAGAGAACTTGATGTTGTTATAAAAAGTGTCTTGGATTTTCCGATTTAGAATGGCATATAGGGTTAGGGGTCACAATCCACTGTTTGAATCATTCAGGCTTGTTTAGGAATGTTTACGCCTAGAAAAAGAAAAATTGACTAGAATCTGATCATGTGGTTGTATGTCATTTGGATGACGTGTACCTAAACTCTGCAATTCATTACTAAATGTTAATTATCTCCCCTTGCACCAATACAAGTATATCTAAGCAATTGCAACCAGAGTTTCTCAGAGGTTTTCATAGTTTGTACAGTAGGGCTCAGTAGCTTCTAGCACAATTTCTTGCCATGTAGATGAAGCACCACCTTTTTTTTCTTTTTACTTTTAATGACCAGTCTCATAACATAATTACAATGTTAAACATGTATTTTTTCTTTATTTTCCTATTTACATTATTTGTTTTCTTAAGACCATTACCAATAGATGGTTGGCTGCCCTTTGTCTGTGATCCTTCTTTAATTCTTGTTATCACTATTCTTGAGAAGTCCTGGATGGATGATTTAAAATTTTCCTATAAAGGTTCCCCTTTTAGTACGCTCTTTGGATTTTGCGATTTTTGGACTGATTTGGAAAGCATACTGGCTGCCTAGCGGCTGTCTTGGATTTTGACTATTTCTTTAGAAATATTGGATGGGACTTTCTCAAATTTCATAAGTAGGCCCCCTAATTGTGCACTTTTGACTTTGGGACTAATCAGGTAAGTGAAACAGATAGGTATCTGGGATGTTGACAATTAAAGTTTGTTGTTGATATTTCGTGATAAGTACTGAAAAAGTCTTTTTCAAATTTCATATGAAGGATCCCTTTGGTCCCTAGTACTGTGATACCTTTAAGTTTTGAAGCTGGTGACACATTCATCTCTCAAATAGACATCCAATATTTGATCCCTCGAATGGACATAAATATGTATAGAGTCAGTTGCTAGACCCCATTGGTTTTATTTGATAACTCCTTCCTCCCATAGTGAGACTATTCGCATGCTTCCATCTGCAAGAATGATTGATATAAGCGGATAGCTTGTTTCCCTGTTGTTGTAAAATAAAGTTTATATTTAAGAAGGTCTGGATGGATCTTTCATAAATTTTCTTTTACCCGGTATGTAAGTTCCTCTTGGCTCATCAGAATTCCCCGCACAGGTAGCGATTCCTTATTCTCATTCCCAAGACAATAAAAGGTTATGTTAAGTTAGGTTATGTCCTACACTATCTAAAGTGTGGAACACCTTCTGCACACATACTATTTATTTTCATTTTATCTTCATAAAACATTTTATCAATGTAAGTAAATAGAAAGATTTTGACGACGATGCTAAATATACTGGAAATTAAATATAGAACCAAAATACCAAGTCACTATAGGAGAAATTAGATTCATATACATTCATAATAAATACATGTTATAAAAAATACAGGTGGTTTATACACTACATGTTTTAAATGGTATGTGTTGATTATATATAGTAGTTTATTTCATACAGTGTTTCTGTTCTTGTATAAAACCTGTACTATTGTTACCTTTAATGGTTGTTGTTCTTAGTCATAATATCCCAGTCAACAGTATTGATTATTTTTCCCAATCAGATTTTTGATTTATTTTTATTATATTTTTCTGAAATGGCAGTAAATGATGTGTTTACAAAGTAACGTGTTTAGGAGTGTATTGTAAACTATAACATATCATAAATCTCGTAGTGTGAAAGGAATTGGGACATTGGATGTTATAAAAATCAAAATTTATTGTGTGCCATTCCTTTATATATTGTATTGTAACATGTCTTGATATCATATTGTTACTAAAATTATTGAATTTTGTACCAGTTTTAATCACATATACAATACCAATATATATTTATACATATATCAGTGTGATACTTATATAATACAATAACAGGATTGTACTTATCTAAAATTATTATCCTTCTATAATTATCAAACACCTTTATTAAAATATTTACTTAATTTCACTTACACCATAAAACATATATATATATATATATATATATTTTAAATATTAAATGGAGTTGTGTTCATTAACATTTAAAGAAAAATCTCCAAATACCCAATATAACATCTAAAGTTTACACCAAGCTTTTAAATGGAGTTATTTCCCTTGCATCATATTTATTAAGAGTTCAGCTCGGTACAGAATATTCACACAATTGTCTCGAATCATTTGCTTTTACAGTTGTAGAAGTGTTCAGTTTATCGTGATGGTGGGTGTTATGAACTGCCTTTGTTTTGACAGGTTGTGGGTGTCTAATAGATAGCCTTTGTTGTACACTCAAATTGACCATGACTTTTTTGTACACTCAAACTGACCATGTCTTTTTTGTACACTCAAACTGACCATGACTTTTTTAACAATCAATTTGACCATGGCTTTTTTGTACACTCAAATTGACCATGGTTTTTATGTACACTCAATATGACCATGGCTTTTTTGTACACTCAAATTGACCATGTTTTTTTTTGTACACTCAAACTGACCATGGTTTTTTTTGTACACTCAAATTGGCCATGGTTTTTTTGTACACTCAAATTGACCATGGTTTTTTTTGTACACTCAAACTGACCATGACTTTTTTAACAATCAATTTGACCATGGCTTTTTTGTACACTCAAATTGACCATGGTTTTTTTGTACACTCAAACTGAACATGTTTTTTTTTGTACACTCAAACTGACCATTGCTCTCTTGGAACCAGTGTCATCCCTCATGTTTAGCTTGATATTGTATAAAGTGTTTTGTTTTTTGCAAATGATCAACATTGAAAGATGGACATTAATTGATTAGAGGATGAAAGTATCGCTATTGTGGACATCCTCATCCACAGAGAGTCTGTTTAAGTCTGAATTCTGTAGCGGTTTTCATCTCGACTAATTTTTCCTGGTTCCCAGCTAGGCAGACAGCTATATAACATGACTAAGTTTTTTGACTTCTGGTATATATATATTGTTATAGTCTCTGTTTAGACTCTGACATCGGTTGGTGAAATACGTGGTAGTCAACAGTCTACTTGTAAACCCTGTTCCGTCTCATTGGTTTGACTATGTCCTTGTTATCAACCTGATAAATTATGACAATATGGCATTCCTCATGGTAATGGCTATGACAATCCCTCTCCCCATTCTTGTCATGGTAATGACACTCCCCAGTTAATTTGACTTTTGTGAAGATCC